CTCAGCAGAGGTGACCGAATGCGGCCCTAGGAGGACCGGACGCGTCTGATCAGTTGCTCGGCAACAGCAGGTGTCAGCAGCTATGACCGGACGCTGAACGAAGCAGTGATTGGACGGACGGACTTCACTGTTTATCATCGTGGCAACAACTCAGTGAGGACCGGATGTAGCAGTTGTGGACGACCGGACGCGCCAAGCAGTGGCGTCCGATCGAGTCCAGAGAGGTTTCCGACGACGCCAGCGCGACCGGACGCGTCCGATCGATGATGACCGGACTCGATAGTACGTCTGATCTCTACGCGCTCGCTCAACGGTCGAGACGACCGGACGTGTCCGGTCAGGACGATAGTAGCGTCCGGTCAGTAGTTGAAAGCTGGGTTTCGCCCCCAACGGCTACTTTCTCTATGGGGCTTATAAATAATCTCCCCAACCAGCCATTTGATAAGAGGAGAGCTGAGGAAACATACCAAGGGTGTTGATACACCATTTTAGTGATCTCCACTTGCATAGTGCTTAGTGATTCATTAGGTGATTAGCGTAGGTGCTTTGCGAAGTGCTTAGGTTGATTAGATCACCACTTATGCGCTTGCTCTAGGTTTAGGCCTAGTATTTAGTGAGGTTTGCACACCTCTTATCACTCGATGCTTGCGCGCACCATTGTTGTACTCGACGGGGCTTGTAGTCTTGTGAGACCACACCAACCGCGTTTGTGGTGTGGCTGCCACCGTGTATCGAAGGGAACAAGGCCCGTAGCGGTTCGGCCGGAAACTTCATAGTGAAGACGGCGGGGAGCGATCTAGGAGAGGCTTGCCGGAAGACACACCAGAGACCCACTTGTGCGTGGGGAAGTCCCGGGGCTATCCACGCAGTTATCCGACCGAGAGCTTGGCTCTTGCATGGGATTTGTTACGAGGGGCTCCAACGAGGACTAGGGGGAAGCTTGCATGTTTCTCGATACATCGGTAAAAATACCGGAGTCATTGACGGGAGTTTGCATCTCTACCTCATCTTTACCTTCCGCATTCACACTGCTACCGTGGTTGATTGCTTTACTTTCCTAGCTTAGTTGATAGGCTAGTTGATAGGATTGGAACCTAGGGTGCATAACTCTTTTACGGTAGAGATAACAACACACCTAGCAAAACCATAGTTGCACATCTAGATAGATTACCTTCTTGCATAGGTTTTGACAAGGTGGAATTAGAGGCCACAGTTTAGAGTAGATTTTTAAGTTGCCTAATTCACCCCCCTCTTAGGCATCACGGTCCCTTACAATCCCCATGGAAGACCTTGAAGTGAAAATCTAGTAGGAGGAGGTGTGAAGAGTACCAAGTGATTGTTCGGCTCAAGAAGCTAGGGCTCACGTTGGAGCTCACCTTGAGGGATGAACCGAGCTTGTGGGCTTGGTGTCTAGTGAGGAAGATCAGCATCCTTGGATTTGCCTTGATGGGGAGTAGGTGGTTGGTAAGCCACCGAACCTTGGGAGTGAAATCACCATGTCCTCTATTGTCTCCTGTTTGGTTTGCACTCTCCTAACACTAGCTCTTCAAATGTATATCTTGTGCTAGTGTTGTTGCTCTCTTGTGCTTGTGTAGCTTTATTAGTTGTATTACTGTAGTGCTTACTAGTGTAGCTAGTTGTAGGTGTTTACCTTTGCTCACTAGTATGTGTAGGGGCTCCCATGTGCTTGCTTGAGCTCTAGTTGCTTTGGTTTGTGTGACCTTGCACACTAGGCTTGTGTTGGTAAGCTCTCACTAGCTCGGCACCTTAGTTTGATATCTTGTGTAGGATATTTTAAGGGTGCTTGTGAAATTTGATAGAGGAGTAAAGTCGTGGCTAGACGATTTGTTTTATTCTGCTATTTTTCTCAGCTAGCCGTAGCGCTTAAGTTTTAGAAATGACTATTCACCTCCTCTTAGTCGGCCATCTTGACCTTTCACAAGTTTGACCGGATTTTGATCATTAGCATCCACAATATAAATTCCTTTTGGGATTTTTCATAATAGATCTTAGGAAATAACTTTTCTGACATTTATAGTCGATTTGTTTAGTTAACTAGTTTCTCACACACCTCTATCATAGCCATACCCATTGAGACATGCATGTATGTTTGTGGAATGTTACAGTTTTGTTGATGTATCTATATAAGCTGGCCAATAAAGAGATGATTCTTCATTATCCACGCACAACATGTTGCATGAGATAAAAAGTTGAAAAATTAGTGCCACAACGATGTTTACTTTTCATAATTATTATACTCCAATACCCCTTTACTATATTTACTATCCTACATTTTTCAAATAATACACCATATTGCTTGATCCACATTAATAACATCATTAGCAATAAGAGCATGTTTGGAAGAAATGTTTTCATGTCAAAACACTTGTAAAATACAAGGTTGGAAAGTTTTCACCCTACTCTCAAAAAAGTTGTTTGAATGACCGGAGAAGGTACTAAATTTATCCTTGTTTTGTGTCAACCAACTAGAAAAATATAATCCACTACGGCGACAACAAAAACAAAACAACGGATGATGGTCTTGCCTCTCAACCCTTGCCCATCAGTGATGGTTGCTTGACTCCCCCTCAGTGATGGTAGCATCTCCTCCTACTCTCTCTTTGCCTCCCTCTATTCCTTATCTCGACCACCAAATCTAGAGAGATGGAGATGAATTAGACACCCGCCAAAAGCCCTCTCATGCCACCCCAGTCCTTTGCCCTCTGCCTACCTCATCCTCCCATGCTCAGGGGCGATGGATTCAAGAAGGAACATGCAACATGTTCTAATTGGAGAAGAAACAAGTAGTTGAAGGGCCGTAAGGAGCTAGAAGAAGAAGAATCATCGTTTCTGCTCAGCAAGTTCGTCAATGGCACGGGAAGATATCAAGTTAGTAGTGCCAGAGATGCATATGCTGCCTTGTGCTCCATCTTCGGATCTGATTGCTTCATTTAATTTGGTTGGATGATCGGTCTCATTAATTCCTATATGTGATGATTTTGTTTTAGTTGTAATTATTTTGGCATACAAATTGGTGGTTACCTGTGCACAATGTTTGCTATTTGGTACCAAGGAACATGTTGATGCTTTGATCTAATTTTTTGGCCTCAAATTTGTGTGTTGATTGGAAATTTATTCAGGTTTGCTCCAATTCAGTGCTTTGTTTTCAAATTTCATTGTTTGTGCAATGCTCATTCTTATCGTGACGCAAATGGTAATCAATTAGTTAGCTCAAAGCAAATAGTCACCTATTCTCTTCTTACCCAAACAACAAATTTCTAAGGAAAAATAATACCCTATATTTCAGAGGTTTTCTTGTACATAAGAAAATATAGGTGTAATATAATTACATGCAAAAAGAATCACATGGCTTCTTAATATGGCAGAAGTTGGAAATTTTTCAAGTTTCTAGTGACTCTTGCTTGCAACATCTCCATGAGTTTCTAAATTTAGAGGGTGTTTTTTCTCTATGAACCTTAAATTTTACCAGGATGTTTGACATCAGGCTCTTAGATTCTAGACCTAATACCTAATCTATAACTCTTATAAAGCTAATCCCGTAATTCACACTACAAAGACATCAACATCATCTCAAACTAATTATCCACATCATCTCTCATCAAGAGCCATGTCATTCCACTAACTTTCAACCTCTTAATGCAAGCTATCCACATCATCATCACTAAGCGCAATTACTACTTTCAATATATAAGAAACTAGAAGCATACCCCGCATACACATGAGAATTTTGGAAAATTAGACTATATAATTACTTATATGAAGGGATATACTATTATAAATTAATGTTGGCTGGCTTGGCACATTCATGTTGACAACTAAATACATGTTTGTGGATGATGTACCTCATTGACTTGTATATCATAATTGCATATGCTAGTGAGTTGTAATTGTATCTATTAGTGGATTGTTGAGGTTGACAGCTTGCATGTCGAGATGCAACCTTAGTTGGGTTTAGGATTACGAGAGATATAAATATTGATATAGATATAGAAGGCATCCATATGTTGCTATTTGTTTTGCTGTTCCACCGTCTTATAATTCGATCTAATTCTTTTATTTTCTTCTATTGAATTATTTCATTGCCTTGTCCTGTAGTGTTGATAAAATGAAATGTTGAAGGTTTAACTCGTACATGTAATGGTCTTGTTTTTAAAAAGTCCCATAGCAGGTGCGAAAATATCCTTCTAGTATTTCATATAAAACTAACCCAACACATTTGAAAAAAAATTACAAAGGACAAAAGAAATACATTAAAGAAAACTAACTAAACACAAAAACACTTGGCCCTACATTCCAAGTAACAGGCTTACCAACTACACCTTTGTGGTAGCTATGAACATCGAGTTTCCTATGCACTTACTCCAGTTTCATTGATGAGCCGAACAGAGCTATATTGCCATGTTGGCTTCAGAGTTCAGACGAGCTGATCTTTATGATATTCCTCAAGCCGAGACGAGAGAACCAGCCCAAAAGGGGAATAAAAAGTGTCCAAACCTTACCCAGTCCAATTACCAGCCTGTTCGTTTACTCGTAAACGATAGTAAATTTTTAGCCGGGAACAGTGTTTTCCTCTCATATCAAACTAACCAGCAATAAATAATCCACGATACGATACGTTGTCCCAAACAGGCTGCATGTCAGTGAGGGCGAGCCCGCCAGTACCGGGTCGGCATGCCACGAGCGCGCGGTCAGCATCCGCAAGTACAGCACGCACACACGAGCACTCCCAGCCCATCCCGCTGCCCACCAAGAATCCACCCGACCCGCCGGTTCATGGGCTCCACGGAAACTATAGCCCACACGTCAGTCTCCTCCACGAGACCCAAACCGGGTCGCCCACCGTTTCCGGAGTAAACCCCCCCTCGAGATCTATCCCCGTTTCCGACCTCACATCCCCCTCTTCCACTCGAGCTCCTTCGTTTAAACCCAAACCCTAATCGCGACCTCCGTTCCCCCAAAACCCTACCCTTACGGCGGCCATGGACGGCGGAGGCGGCGGTGGCGGAGGAGGCGGCGGAGTTGGGGCAGGTGTCATGGTGGGCGGCGGAGTCGGGCCGGGCGGCGGCGTTGGCGGGGGCGGCGACGTGGAGCTCGTCAGCAAGACGCTGCAGTTCGAGCACAAGCTGTTCTACTTCGATCTGAAGGAGAACCCGCGGGGGAGGTACCTCAAGATCTCCGAGAAGACCTCGGCCACGCGCTCCACCATCATCGTCCCCGTCGACGGCGTCGCCTGGTTCCTCGACCTCTTCGACTACTACATCCGCACCGACGAGCGCGACGCCTTCAGCAAGGAGCTGCGGCTCCAGACCAAGGTATTGGCCCCGCTTCCTTCGCGATTGGCCCGCTTCTGCCGCTGATTCTCGTGCCGTTGATGCTAATTTTGGCGTGGCTTAATTATGCTCATTGCGCGGTGCAGGTGTTCTATTTCGATATCGGGGAGAACAAGAGGGGCCGATTCCTCAAGGTGACGTAACTTTCTCTGTATGAACGCGTGCAGTTTCAAAAATTATCATCTTTTTGGGTGTTGGTACGAGAAAATTGCCGAATTGGGGAACTCCATTATTTGGAAGCCAAACTGTTTAGCTAGAACAAGGCGTAATTTGTCGCACTAGAACGGGATTTGCTTGTGTGGATTTAGTAAGTGAAAAGGTCCTATTGTTCTCTTCAGATTTTCGTTGATTCAAGACATCTAGGTCCTAAATGGGTATGCTGACTAGTTTTCCATTGCTATGTGGAGCATGGACCTATCTGTCAGTGGCACGGTCTTCTTTGAGACTTTGACCAAGGCTCGAGTTCATCAATAAGTTAAATGTCCTAAAAAGATGTGCTTGAGGGTTACTTCAAGCTTTGAAAAGGTTTAGGTCCTACTGAGCACAACCCAAAGATTGATGACCAAAATGGGACTTTCCTCTTTAGTAGCTGTGCCCTTGGCAGATTTTGGTTTCTCCTATTCTGTCAATTTCACTTTTACTGCTTGTAACTACCAGTTATTTATTAGCCTAGTGGCAACCAAGCAAAGTAGTATCTTGTGTTTGCCTTTAGTGGCATATTCTGTTTTGTAGCCCTTTCTGCTCGTGCAAAATTACCAACTATTAACTTCTTAACTACCCCTCTAGTGAAAAATATTTATGTTTTGGACAAGATCTGATCCAGCTTTTAAAACATTGACTTCAATAACTTAAAATTATTTATTTTGGGCACATAAAAATCATATATGATTTGTCCTGAAAAATCACTTTTATAATCTCATAAATTTAGTATAAAAAATAGTGGTCAAAGTCACACCTTGCAGACATAAAAGTAAAGAATACCAGAGGGAGTAGAAATGGATGATGTGGTGCTCTAGGTTCACTACCAATTATTGTGTCCAACAGATGTTAATTGATTTTTGTTGTTGTTGTGGAATGGAAAGAGAATAAGGATTGATTGGGTTTTTCATTTAGGCCATTTAATTGCTGATCGAAGATACACACCTGACTACTTGACGGTTTCCTAAATTTGAATTGTATGGATGCTGCTGCTTTCTTATGTGTTGCTATTACATTGATTTTGCTATCTTTTATTTACAAAAAGTTTTTTTTTGGTAATCAGTGATATTATTCTTTCTGGAGTTGTGAATTTATGTTCAGATTTGTTCTTGATTTTATTCTGGTGCAGCACTTGAGGTTCCAAATCCAAAGAAAAAGGGAAAATAAAGCTTGATTGGTCAATATTCGTGATCGAGAAATCAATTTATTTCTCAAGTCCTGCTATAAAACTTTTCAGATTATTCTCTTGATTTTTATAAAAAAAATTTAGTTAGAACACTGAATGCTTGTGTCTTAATTTCATTGGAACAATATATTTCAGAAAATAGAGCTATCTGTTCATAGTTTCATATATTGAAAATTGAGTATTGAAGACACCAACAGCTGAAACAAACAGAAAATGGTATATTGGTGTACTTTTAGCAAAGACTTGATGCATGCTGCTTGTATATGCATTATGGAGATCTGGGCTCTCCACTTGTATATTGTTTGGATTATTAAGAATCTCAAGACATTCCTTGATGCATGCTCTTAACTTAAAAAATCTTACATTTTCAGATTGTGGGTCCAAATAGTGACAGACGGTGTTCTCTGATAAAATGTTGCATTTTACCTTTTTAGCTGGTGGGTTATCATGTTGCTGAACATGTCACCTTGCTTGCTTAATTTCCTAAGTTTTTTTTTTTGTTTCCTTGAATTTTTTTGAGGGACATAATGATCTTGAGCAGTCTTTGTGTCTGTTGCATTCTTGAAAAGACTTAATGTGTAGCTTAATCTTATTGGCTAGCACACTACATGTAGTGATCCTAGCATATTCTTCTGGCATCTGTCAATTTCATGACTCAAACTAAATTTGGAATCGAAATATTATATGTTTTAATGCTACCAACTATATATAATTTGTGTTAGTTTGTTTTCAATATCCACTGAGAAGGGGTTTGCAATATTTTCCCTAGATATAAATCGTAAAAGGTTATGGTCTTGTATATAGCTGGGGAGAAGTATTATCTATCTTTGTTGTAGTGTTTGCAATAAATGATACTTTTGAGCTATATTACACTTTTTTTTTTTGCTTCTAAAGTAACTGTACAGTTTTGTATGCGTGACATAACTGCAATAGTTACCTGCTTACACAACATTTTGTATTTAGGTTTCCGAGGCCTCTGTCAACAGGAATCGGAGTACCATAATTGTTCCAGCTTGCAGCTCTGGTGAAGAGGGCTGGGAAGCATTCAGGAATGTACTGTTGGAAATAAATAACGAGGCTTCCAGATTGTATGTCCTACCAAATCATCCAAATCAGGTAGAGCTAACAAAAAGAAATGTTTGTTGCCTATTTGTGAAGTCTACCCTCTATGACACTGTATTCTTTTGATATTGGATTTCCCAGCAACACATGGAGCCGCCAGAGCGTCTTCCTGGCCTTTCCGATGATGTGGGTGCCGGATTTATAGCTGGACATGGTAGCCAGTCCGCTTCTGGGCCAGAGGTAGATGTCGATCGCCTGGTTGATCTGCCTCCTCAAGAAGAAATTAGTGGCATGGGTATGTCTAAGGTGATTAGGGCAGATCAGAAGAGATTCTTCTTTGACCTGGGCAGCAACAACAGGGGCCATTATTTGAGGATTTCTGAGGTAACCTGTTGTTGCCCATTATTTGGAAACACAAGCCCCCATTTTCCACGCACAAGAGTGATCCATTGCTCTTACTGTTTGTGATTGTAATTACAGGTGGCTGGAGCTGATCGTTCGTCTATAATCTTGCCGCTCTCGGGTTTGAAGCAGTTCCATGAAATGGTCGGTCACTTTGTAGATATAATGAAGGACAGGCTTGAAGGAATGACAGGAGCTAACGTGCGCACTGTCGAACCCAGCCAGAGATGATTACCCTTGACTGTGGCCTTGGCAAGACTGCTGTTATGCCTCCTGTAGGTTTGCCATGTGGTGTGTGGTAATGTAGATCACGCAGTATTAATTCATCTGGTGGGGATAATAATGTCTCTTTTCTCTTTATTTTTTGAATTCAGTGGTGAGGATTGATTTGTTTGGGACTTTTTCCTTTCAGTCGGTGGAATAATAAGCAGTGTATTGTTCGTGGGGTGGTATAATTGCGGTTGCTGCAGTGTTAGCCCTGTTTTCATGCATCGCAGTTCTTGTTTAGGTAAAAAAGTGTCTGCTATGTTTCTGGCATTGTGTTGTCTGTAGTTGGCCTCTGCATTGTGAGTTCTTCCTACATAGTTATATGTTAGTGATGTGGATAGGCCTGCGTTCGACGCTTGCTGCAGTAATCTGATGTAGTTCAGTAATACTGGTCCGTTAAGTGCGCCACAAGCCCACAACCGTTACACTGTTATATATGTTCAGTATTTTAACTAATTTCCAGGTGTTTTCTTTTGTATGTTCTGGTTACTCGGTAAATCACGATTCATGAACTACAATGGTTAGTTGGGGCAACTTGTTTAGGCACTCCTGAACGGAGAAATTGAAATCAGATGAATGAAAAAAAAATACAAGAATAGGGTGTGGATGTATTAGCAAAACAGAGGAAAGAAAAAAAGCCCAGCAAGTGAACGAACAGTATTTTCCTGTCTCGGTCTTGAGCGAAACTTTGTTCCTACTAAGAACATTTCCTATGTTTTACTGTTGAAGCTTCCTTTATTCCACACGCAATTTTGAGAAACCTTTCCAAAGCCATGGATTCCTAAAAATTTAAGTATCAGATCGACCAAATTGAACAAATGATGGCTCATATGAAATTTCTTTGATCTGAACGGAGCCTTAAACATTACCCAATTTATATCAGATTCAAAATCTATATCTATATAATCTAACCTATATATTAATACAGAGGCAAAATTTCCGTCACTCCTTTTTTTTGCCATTTGTTTCGTCTAGCCTTAATTCACCGTGAATCGCAATCTGCAACAACCAGAGTCCGTATCGCTCCTGCCTTCCAAAACCTCTACTGAATCGTAGAGTATTCCAATAAGAGCAAGAACACGACTTGGAAGACAGCAAAGACGAGAAGGGTTCAATCAGCAAACCACCTGGACAAGATTAAAAAGAACTCTAATAAGATACGCAAGACAAGAACTGAAAGTCTCCCGAAGAACATAGATAATAGCTCAAATAGTCTCTCATCTCTCACAACTAAGAAGCCTAAAGAAGAGACACCGGCGTCGTGCGACAAAATCATCGCCTCACCCCGTCGGACGACCGCTGCGATCCCCGCCCGCTCGCCTGATTTCACCGCGCTTTGCCCTTGCGATCCCACGACGCAATCACGCGAGAGCACGCGCCGCCAGGTGGGACCACCCTTCCCGCGATCGCCCAGTATCTTCGTGCGACAAAAACTCGCTACGTCCGCCTGCCGTGCGGCTGCTATACCGCGAGTCCGTGCGCCGGCAGGTGGGCCTCCTCCCCGCACACGCAATCACCGCGGCTAATATCACGCATGTGATCCGTGGCGTCGCCCACGTCGTCACGTTGATCGCGGTTCATATCACGCAGCCCTGCCCCCGTCGCCTCGACGCCGCCTCCACGCCCTTCCACGGCGAGGTCTCCGTCTCGTTGATCGCAACTGGGACTGCTGCGAGGACGTCGCGGCCAGGCGGGCAGCCGGTGCGTGCGCTCGGGTGGCCGGACAGGGCGTCGGCGGCCGGCCGGGCAAGCCAGCCCGCGGCGGGAGCACCAGATCCTGTCGGCCCAGTGGAAGGAGGAGACGGTAAAGACGCTGTGGCCGTCGTTGTGGCTCACGGAGGACTTTCCCGTGAGCTTGTGGCTGCAGATGTTGCATCAACTTCTTATTGAATGGTCATGCTGCGACGCTTGGACACGAGCAGTAACAGATTTGCAGCAACTCTCGGTTTTTCTCGGTCCCCTATCTTTTTCTTTTCTGCAGATCCTCTGCCTCATACCCTGAATTTAGTTCTCTAGCGTCATAGCAGGTACCCATTACGGGATCATAGCATATATGAAGCGACTGATTTTGACTACATGAACGTTGTCTGAATTCTGATAGTATTTCACACGAAAGATGTGTGCCGAGACTGAAAGCTTGCTTCTGTTGGAAGAGGCCTTATTTTTTTTAACATAAATGGCAGTAGCTCTGCCTTTCTCCAGCGTACAACTAAAAAGAACAAAGTTTGGATATTTTTTTGTGCGACTTTTGTTTTAGTTCGTCCGTCTGCCCACGCCCGGGATCCCACGACATCTCCCACATGCACATTGATTACAGGTTAATCTTAATTACTGATTGATCGTGCCATTCTCCTTGATTGAATATTGTCTGTCATGTGATAGAGGAATTACGAAAAAATAGGAAGTAGAAAATTATTGTGCTATCCATATACACATTGCATATTTGCATGCATCAACATACATGGCAACGAGCAAAAGAAAATAGAATTAACACAGAGGGAAAGAGAATTAAGATAAAAGGAACCTTTTTGCATTTCTGACAACCTTGATAAATCTGTCTACATTTAATTACTTCCCCTCTTTGTATTTGCAAAAGGAACAACTTTTTTCTCCTTTTATTTGGTTTCACGCCCACGTGTTCCATCGCCCTCGCTTACTGTTTCTTGTTAAAATTACCCTTGGGTCTGTTCATTTTGAATCCTTTCCCCATATCCCCGTTCCCCAATCTATGGTCCATCGCGACAGTAGACACCGGACACCATTTCTTTTTGATTAAACTAGGTAGCGTGCCCGTGCGTTGCTATGGGATAACTAACAATTTATACTAAAAACACACAGATCGCACGATAAGATAATAATACTGTAAAAATTAAATACCAATGTTAAAGTGACATTTAATCCAAAAAACAAAGTTTATGAATTTAACACAGTCACGGAGTGCGCGGCGTCGCAGACTCACAAACTCTACTTTATAGACCTTTCCGTGATGCGGCTAGGATAATATTTTATATTGGCAGGAAGAAATCTCCGATATTCATTTCTTTCATTATAATCCATTTATCTGGACAATGTTTGAGGTGAGGGCACGGTTACAGTTTTTAGTAGCTTTGCGATATTGTCCGAAGCTATGAGATGGTTGATGTCTTACAATGATCCTTTCATTAATTTAGTTTTCTATCTATGTTTAATTGTTTATTCAATCTATTTTATAGGCACGTCGGTAGATAATGGATGATAAAATTCAAGCATCCATAATTTATCTCTTTGACTTTGAGCATGAGTTTTGTTTTTATTTTTTAATTGATATATTATCCTTTTATTTTTACCGTAGCGTTAGTACAAGCATGCATGAAAAACAAAGATGTCTTTACACTGCAGAAATCTTTCAAGAAGATCATACATAGATTATTCTTGTATTGAATATTATATATATACAATCACCTAAATATTCTAATTAAACTATAAAATTTTGAATTAGGATACGAGGTAAGACATGCAAACAGATATTTTAAAACTACCTGTAGAGTCCAAAGAACTTAATAAATAAATTCATTTGAAGGCAATGCAAATTCTCTCTAATCTTTCATTTGGTGTAGTTAGTGTTATCATGGTACCCACATGTATTCATGGGAAATAAATCGTGGACAAAACGTGGACATTTTGTGGTGTGATATTCCAACATGGGTCCATTGTCCTGCTAATATCCTTGAGGCAGATCACATAAAGGATGAGAGTCCCTCTATGAGATTGCTCACAAGAGACTCAAAGTTATATCTGATCATGGTAATGTTGAATTGCTTTACATCAAAAGCATCGGCAATGATAAACGGGGATATAGGTTTTAGTATGCATAGTGGAGGAAAACTCAACCTTGGCCTTCTCAGCAGCTTTTCTGAGCCTTTGCAGTGCTAACTTGTTTTTACTCAGATAGTCAAGAGGTGCACCATAAAATTATGCACCACTAAGAAAAGTGTCACCATTGGTTGCCTTGACCTGAAAAATGTGTCAAAATTAAGAATTACAACACCTAATTCAACATCTTGGAACAGACACTCAAGTAGATACCTTATTCTACAATATATGTCTGTGTGGAATAGTTATAAAGCCACACATATTTATACGATGAGTATAACATACTTTGTTTTAAAATTTTATGAGAGATTTTTTAAGACACGTAGTATTATCCATGTGACAGGCACTAATATTTACATATATACTTGAACCTGTGTGTACAGGATTATATGGAGATGCAGCGAAACTTATTCGTGGATTTATTGACGCATGAAAAAATGGATATCGGAGAATTTTTTCTGCCGATATAAAATATTATCTTAGCCATATCACGAAAAAGTCTATACAGTAGAGTTTGTGACGCCGCGCTCTCCGTGACTGTGTTAATTTCACGAACTTTGCTTTTTGAATTAAATGTCACTTTAACGTCGGTATTTAATTTAACAGTATTGTTATCTTATCGTGCGATCCGTGTGTTTTTAGTATAAAAAATTTAGTTGTCCCATAGCAACACCCTAGTTAATTAAGAAGAAAAATAGAATTTTAAGATACAACGGCTCCTAGGCCGTGAACCCGCAATGTAGTCAAGGATTGACTCTGCCACCCGACAACCTTTACACCATGATTGCAATTACACTACCTTAGGTGATCACCCAAAAAGCCCTTCTATACTTCTCTAGATTTTCTTTAATGCGGGTTGCTACTTCCGGAGCTGTTAAGAACTTTTGATCGAAAATTCTTCGATTTTGTTCCTTCCAAATATTCCACATAGTGTAGATAATCAATTCATTGAAGTGTTGTCTTTTATCCTTTGGTACGGAACTTGCCGTCTTCTCCCACTATTTACCAATATTATCAAATTTCACCGGGTGAGCAGCTCGAAGAATAAATTCTCCCAAGTTGAGATTTGGTTCCACACCATATGGGCAGGTTAGGCAAAGGTGTAAGCCGGT